AAGCTAAGTGATATAACTCGATTGGAGTATTATCGATTTATATATTGGTTTATCCAGGTATTACCAAAAGAAGTGGAAAATAATTCATTAACACCAAAATGAATTTTGTATTTACACAATCCACCCGCACGTTATCACTGTTAATCAATCGAAATTATGCGGTTATCAACAAACCTATATCACCCTTGTCTACATAATTAAGTAGAATAAACAGACAATCAATTTACGTGGTATTCTTGCGGAATTTCAAGACTAATCCAAGGAAGAGTTGAAGCTCTTCAAATACTGATCTTTTTTTTTTAAGTACAATATATTAGCCACAACTATTATGAAGCGGGAAATTATAGCCATAATTATGGAATTCAAATTATTATCCAAACGTTAACTATTTGTTAACAATTTTGTTAGTAATACTGACTAAACTTTTATGTTTTAAAGTTATAAATTAAAAGCATTCCGACGTGGACGCTGTCGTGGCCTTCTCCGTAAAAAATTCAATAACAGTACCGTACAGTTAGCCATATTTTAACCCGCAACAATAGTTATAGCTAATAATTTGAATTTTCATAATTTTGGCTAGGGAGCGGGAGTCATCACTTTATTTTCTTGTGTGGAAGACTTTTGGTAGAGCTTTATAAAAGTGAATTCCTTTAGAGATAGGGGCCTTCCATATTTTATTTTCATTAAAAGAATTCTATAGATGGGAGGATAGGTTTTTTTCTTTGTTTACTCAACTCGTAAAGGCAAAAGAAAAATTCTTAATTCTCCGCTTCATAATAGTTATGGCTAATATATTGTATTTACCCTTTTTTGTCCCTTTTACAACCGCAGCTCTCTGTTCCTATATACAAAAACGAAACGAGAGGAAGAAGAAAATGTTCCATAAAGTTAGTCGAACCCTATGTTTAATACTCTACAGAAATGGACAATCCAAAAGCAAATGCTCCAACGTCTGTGACTCACCCCAACACATCGGACATCGAGCATCACAATTAACTTTCCTGAGCTAAAGAGCCTCTGAAAACCTTAACCAACTGGTTGAATCGATTGGTTCCAACGGGTTTCCCCCATTTTGACAGAATCTGAAGCGACTCCACACTGGGTTGTTGTTCACGGTTAGCTCACAGATCCGGACAGAAATAGTGCGACCAGCTTGTCTACCCGCCGGTAGGGGTGAACAAACACACCCGCAAACCGACCCACCCGTCCAACCCGATCCAACCCACCCGTATTAATCGCTAAAACTAAGGTTTTGGGTTGGGTGAAGGTTTTCTTTTGTACAACCCGCCTCTTTTGGGTTGAGTTTGGATTTTGGTTAACACAACTCGTAGAACCCGACCCAACCCGTGTTCCAACTATTAGTATAATTTCGTATCCAAAAAATACCTATGAGAAAATTAAGATATTGCGCCATGTTTTCTCTCATGGTCTCCCTAATCTAATGCATTTTTCGGCTTAAAGTTCATACATATATTTAATATAGCTATGATTCACGTAGTCCTTTTTCTTGTTTACAATTTTAATAGAATTACATATTATATATGCGTTTGTCTATAACCCTTTTAGCCTATTTCAACAAACGTCGTGAAAAAATTAAATATATGTTGAAATAAATCACATTTAATGAAAATTCAAACAACATTTGTGAATTTTGATACCTTTCGCCTCGGTTTATTCATTTAAAATATTAATTAGTTATAAAATATTTTTATGGTGTAGAATAATTACATATTTTGTGTTGGGTTGAGTTTTTACTTAAAAATACTGTCAACCCGACCCAATTCAATTAAAAAAAAAACATAGGGTTTTAATTTTTATGGGTGGGTTTGGGTTTAATATTTCCCAAACCGTAATGCATGAATCGGATGATTAAAATGGCTAAACCCGGCCCACCCGACCCATGTCTCTAGTTTCCTTCGGTCCGTCCGTTCCCTATTCCAATTTAACGAAGAGAGAGGGCGAGTCGCGAGAGGTAAACGACGACAGGTGCCGAGCCGGACTGCTGCTCTGCTTGGCGCTGATAATTCCGCCGGACGGACAGCCCCCTTTTATCCAATTCTTGTAATAATTACATAAGTCAATTAGTAGTTCCCACTTCATTTCCTCTTCTCTCGTCCTCCGCCGTCGAAGCCGTGACAATTCCACCGATCGGAAGCCCAACGGTGATATAGAAGCTCTAAGGTGATCATCCTGATCCCTCTTATCTTCCAATTCTCCCTCGCGTTCGAAATCCAACCCCCCTACGGCGTTCAATTTTGGGGGTTGATCGAATTTTTAGGGCTTTTTTTTTCTCCTGTTGGAATTGTGGGTTCCTTGTTCTTGATCATCGGGGTCCAGAATCCGGTCTTCATTTTTGTGGAATTGGGGTTTGGAATTTCTGCGAATTAGCTCTAAATTCAACCGCTTTTTTTCTATTTCCAGCTTTCATTGACATTGTCATGCTTCATTAGTTTCCTCTTCAAATTGGATCGATGATTGATTATTAGTTTCAATGAACTTGGGTTTTGAAGGCAGAGAAGATGGCATCTTCTTCAGACGCGTGGATGAAGGAGTATAATGAAGCGGCAAAGCTTGCGGATGATATCACTGGGATGATATCTTCTCTGCCTTCATCTGGACCTGAAAGTCAACGTCATGCTTCTGCTGCTCGCAGGAAGATCACCATATTGGGTACCCGACTTGATAGCTTACAGTCTCTTTTGACAAAGCTTCCCGGAAAGCAGCAAGTGTAAGCCGCTCGCCATTCACTTCCATCCATCTTTAAGCTTTGATAATACCTTATATGCTGGGCAGATTCTGTTTCTTGTAGTTGCTTGTCCGTGTAGCGCTCTCCTTCTTGTTCTTGTTCTAATTCAAATGCACCAACTTCGTTCCTTCGCCCTTCACCCTACGGTTGAACATATTCTAAACCTTCGGGCTCATTACTTCGTTCCTTCGCTATCGCAAGAATATAGCGTTTCGAAGACGCTTAGCTGCTTCGCCTAAAGCCGTATTACCAGAAGGGGGCATGCTGAGCGTGGGTGAGTGGTAAGCGTAGGAGGCGCGCCCTAAGGTTAGGCAGCAACTTGTGCATGCGGCAGTTCATTGAGATCATAAATTGGTCGTGCAATGTTGGCGAACTAGTGTTTGATTGTTGCCAATGTTGTTGTTCATTGTTGTATTGGTGCAACAAAATAAAAGTTTCTAACTTTGTCTCGGCTTTCTGGATTGTGGTGCGCAGATCAGAGAAAGAGATGAACCGTCGCAGGGACATGATTGGGAACCTTAGGACGAAAGCCAACCAGATGGCTTCCTCGTTGAACATGACAAGCTTTGCCAACAGGGATAGTTTGTTAGGCACTGAAATTAAGCAATCTGATATCATGAGTCGAACAACTGGTTTGGACAACCATGGCCTTGTAACTTTTCAGCGGCAAGTTATGAGAGGTAATGTTGTTATTAATTATCATCAGTTTCGTTTAGGGTGTCACTTCAAATTTCCTTGCTTATAGTACTTGCTGATTTTAGAATTCTAACCGGAAATGTATCCTTGAAACAGAGCAAGATGAGGGCCTTGAGAAGTTGGAGGAGACAGTAATCAGTACAAAACATATCGCCTTGGCAGTCAATGAGGAACTGGATCTTCACACCAGACTTATTGTATGCCCCTCTTATTTCTTGCACTCACTATTTGTATTTTCAAATTATTATGCCCTAGGCTTACAACCAAAATGAAGGAGAACCTGCGTGTTAGTCTGGAAGAATCATAAATTTTCCTGTGACTTGCAGGATGACTTGGATGAGCATGTGGATGTGACAGACTCCCGCTTACGGGTAAGCAAGCTCATGTCTTTGGTTGTCTTTCATTAGGAACTTTTCTGTGACTTATTACCGACTGACCACCCATACCCCATGTTTACATCTGGAGTTATGTGGCATGGTTATAGCTTAGTTTATATATGGTTTGTGCCAGAAATAACTGACCCTTGAAAATGCTGTTTCATTTTGTACGTAAAGATGAATATGTGCATGAAGCCCTGCTATCTTTTTAGTCTCACTGATCCCATTAGTGCCTTTTTGTCATTGCTTTTCGATCTTGTTGAATCTTTTTAAAGGCTTCTTCTGCTTCTAAAATTTTCTATTTGTGGTAGAACTCTTAAGACTCTAGATTCGCTGCCCTTCTGGTAAAAAGAAAAGAAAGATTCGCTGCCCCAAAGAAAAGAAAGATTCGCTGCCCTAGAGTAGCTAATTCAGACATACCAGCAGCAGCTGCAATTTATCCGACTGTTTCGCATAACCCGGAAGTGTTTCTAGGATAGCTACCCGAGAATTGTTGAAAGAATTCTGTTTTATATTCTCCATTTTCTTGAAAATACAGCGAGTGCAGAAGCAATTGGGAGTATTGAACAAGCGAACCAAGGGTGGTTGCACCTGCCTGTGCATGCTTATGGCTGTAATTGGGATCGTAGCTCTGGTTGTGGTCATATATATGCTGATCAAGTACTTATGATCCTGAGGGTCGTACCTGAAGCCCCTCATTTCAGTTTATCTGCCTTAATTCTGCCTGCCTGCCTGCTGCTCTGCTCATTCTGCAACAAGTCGCTCTTCCCTCCTCTTTTGCTTTACCTTTTCCCTGTCGCTTGTTTTGAGAACCATTGTGTTTGGAGATTTTCTGCTTTCGCTCCATATGGTGGTGCGATGTTGAGGTGGCAGAAGTTGTAATACGAAAAATGTCGGGAACCAACTCTGTAAATAATCCCCCAAGTGATTTGGCCTGCGTGTCATTCGTCTGTTTGATCAACCAAAGCCGAAAATTACACATTTTAATGTGATGTATGGTTGTGCACTGCCCTTCATTCACCTTTTGCACTGCCGATTGTCGACATTGAGTAATTGATCACTGATGTTCTGACTGTCAAGAATATGTCTTCCAATTGCGCTTTTACGAAACAACAATGGTCGTCTCCTCTCAAATGTCTTCCACTGCGATTGAGTCTAGATAGTGGTAGACAAAGTCGTTAGGATTAACATGATTTGTCTGTGTATGACCTCACAAAAAAAGGTTAGTTTCATAGCACAATAAATTGTTCGTAGAAATGTGTACCGATTCTTGGATACCGTCCTTGACTTCTTGAGTTCATCCACAATTCGAGATCCGAACGTAAACGAACCTCAACCCCTTTTTAAACCATTATCATGTCGATACTGGAGCTTACTATTATTTGCCAGAGCTTAAATTAAGTAACTAAAAACAAGCATGGAATAGAGAATTAAATTTTACAACTTGAGGAGCTTCACAATCAATACACAGCTGCATTGGAGCAGGAAACCACTCCATCTCAATAATGAACCGAAAGAGAGGAGAGGAAGGAAATTGAGAAAAATCAAAGGATCAAAAGAAGAGCTTTCTTGGAGAAGCCGTGGCCGAAGTTGCAGCAGCAGTAGCTTTGAGAGGAAGAGGGTTTTCTTTGCTAGTTTCTTGGTTCCCTGCTGCCATCTTGTCAAGCAGTTTGGCCGCCTTGGGATCTGTTAGAAGCGTCTTCTGAAACGACTGTGAGAATCCAGTTGCAATGATGGTCACATGAATCTCTCCATTAAAGCGTTCGTCAACCACTGCACCGAATATTATATTTGCAGATGGATCGGCCAAACTTGTCACCACCTGGGAAATTCGGAGTTGAGATATGAGCAAAACCACTAAAGTTGGAAGGGAAAGCAGCAGCAAGAGGGGGCACATACCTGCGATACTCTGTTCACTTCTTGCAGCGTTATGTCCTTTCCACCAGTTATATTGTAAACAACTCCAGTAGCCGATTGGATGGACGATCCCAACAGAGGAGCCAGAGTTGCCTGCTCAGCTGCTTCTTCTGCTCGGTTTTTCCCAGAGGAAGCCCCAACTCCAAGCATTGCAGTTCCAGAATCTTTCATCACTGCCTTTACATCAGCAAAGTCAACATTCACCAGCCCAGGTATCTGCAAGAACAGAAAGAATTAGAAAAACTTAACTTGCTATTTTTGGGTTCCTTCGCTAAAATATATCAGTATAAACTCTTGGCTCTAGATAGACCATGGTACTGTGCAGAAGCGTAGTTTAAAAAGTTAATATCCATACAGGGACTAGCGAGGGAACATATCCTCAGTTTAATGTTCAATAACTCGGCATTGTGATTATAATCAAGAAATGTACAGCATGAGATGTTAGATCAGGTGGCAACAGCCCTTTGTTCACTGCTGTTTCCAGTTTACAACCCAATAATTTAATATAACTAGAAATTCACACAAGGAATGAAACGTGTTTAATTCCTTATTATCTCTTTGCTGATAACTGAAGAAAGCCTTAAGATGGGGGGAAAAACTCACAGTGATAATATCAGAGATTCCTTGAACGCCTTGGCGTAAGACATCATCAGCAAGAAGGAAAGCATCCTGAAGTGCAGTCTGCTCATCAGCTATGTCAAGTAAGCGGTCATTTGGTATCACTATCAGCGTATCAACATTCTTCTGTAATTTTTCTAGAGCTTCCACTGCCTGCAAGTGCAAATTCAACATTGCCACTATGATTGCATTAAAACAGGAGGAATACCTCCATCACTCAACAATCATGTTGAAGACTTCATCAAGATGATAAACGCAGGAAAAATAAATAGAACTTGCCTGCAAAGATCTTTTCCGGCCTTCAAAACTAAAAGGGTATGTGACTACACCAACAGTGAGATAGCCTGCCTCCTTTGATATCTGAGCCACAACAGGAGCAGCACCAGATCCTGTGCCACCACCCATACCAGCAGTTATGAACACAAGATCAGACCCTTTCAAAGCATCGGCTATAGCTTCTTTCGATTCCTCTGCAGCCTGCTCTCCCAAGAGGGGATTCCCACCAGTACCTGCAAGCACCTCCAGAATCAACTCAAAGAAGCATACACAAAACAATCACTTTTAAAACAAGGAAGACGACTCAGATATCCACATATATACATAATAGCAAGTGCCAAACCTAATCCACGAGTCAAAAGCTCTCCAATTTGGATTGGGTTCTCGGCCGCAGATTGCAACAGTGCTTGAGAATCTGTGTTTATCGCATAGAAATCGACCCCCTGAATTCAAAAATCAAAACAAAAGCTTCATCAGCTATGAATCCCTTCCAACCAAACAAGAAGCTGCCACAATGCAAACTTGATGGATGAACAAGTATATGATCAGTTGGTCACAATCTGCTTGCTCCATTATCGTCGTTACATCTCAAAACTACATTCATTGGAAAAGAAGAAACTTTCCAAGTGTAAGTTAACAGAAAAGAGCTTGCGGAGCAATGCATAATTGTAAACGATACAGCAGATGAAGCGTCCGAATTCCCACAGAAAATTACCCATCAACCCAACGAACTCCAAGGGCCAAAAGATAGCAAATCTAAGAGTCGGCGTTTAATCTGATTCAACGTAAAGGAAAAGAGGTGAACTGGGACCAAAATTGAGAAGCGAATTACCTGCAAGCCGCTGCCAATCATGCGATTAATGGCATTGTTGCCGCCACCGCCGACGCCCACTACCTTAATCTTGGCATTCTCCATTTGAGAAAAGGAGCAGCTCACATTCCCATATCCCGAACTCCTTGACCTGTACGTGGTACTTCCCCTCCGCTTACTTCTATGCGCAGAGCATAGCCTCTGCGGAGGCAGGCACACGGCAGAGAAGGATGAAGAAGAGGAGTTGGGTTTCGCCAGCTGAAGCTGTGGCTGAAACTGAAGTGTCGCCATTTCTCACTGGTTATGGGCACTTGTCGCGTTGAGTGAGGGAGACGCGAGGGAGAAAAAGAAGGTTTTTAGGGTTTTAGAAGACACAGTTCAGCTCCAACAAAGTCAGTTGGATTTTGCCAAACAATTTCTTCATTTCTTCCATTTTCCCATCACTTTCTGGTTGAAAACCATCCGATATTATCTCTGCGAAAGATTGGGTGGAACCCACCTCTTACTGTGCCTCCTTTACATATTGCTTAATACGGCATCGTGGAAGTGCTGCAGAACTAGGGCTGGATGTTCGGTTTGGTGTGGCGGTTTACCCTAAAGCGAAACCAAAAAAAAAAAAAATCACCGGATATCGTGGAACCGAGAACCGCAAAATCAAAGACCTGAACGGTCTTGTTTGCAGGTTAGGAGCGTTTTGTTCAAACAAGGATTGAAGAGATCAATCCATGGCCCATCGAGTCACGGGTAATCAACGAACACCACATTTACGTGTAAAAGAATTGATAGAATTGATCTAGCAAGAAACATAATAATAGTAGTAGCAATATAAGGGTTCAGGCATAAATGGAAGTGGCACTCTTTCTGGGAAGTTATAATTATTTAACCCAAAAATACATCTCTAGGCTCATATTTGTCTGATAGAATCGTTTTGTTTTACGTGCTACATTTCCCTTTTTAAGAATTTGAATGAGAAGACAGAACCAATTCCAAGTTACATAGTGATAAAATTACACACACAGATCTCAAAATATGGAGACAGCAACCAATCCTTCAAATCCCACCCTAAACTCAGATATCGCTCAGGCCACAGACTGCACATAATAATCCAGTAACATCCTCGGCTGGCTGGCTTCTTCATCTGTTTGAGTGTTTCTACTCCCCTTCGCTTAGGATTGGGACGATGAGCGGTTTCATCTGTGCAAGATATACAATAGCCCACCTGCTCACAACAGAGATATCAGTACAGCGAGATTGATTACGCATGAGTTGAGCCGTAAAAATAATAACAGGATAAGCAAATTTTAGGAAGAAAACTAAAAAATGTCATTAAGCATAATAAAATCATGACCCCCAACCAATTTAGCACAAAGTTGTTCACTGGCATTCCCAATACTGCTAAGTAATCAAATACAACTGCCTTTTATATCAAAGACAGTTTCCTACGAGTTCCTTGATTACAATTATTGAGAAGCTCATGTGGCGGCCATTAAAATTTGTGTGCCACAGAGCAGCTAGATCTTACTACTCACAAAGTCGATTTGCCCTAACCAAGATATTGATGAACAAGTAACTTTATGGACTGAAAAACCATTTTTCCATTTGGAAAGAGCAGCAGACAACAAGAACAACATAGCTGCTGAATTTTGGTTTTCAGCTAACAATTTATCAGTGGGAACAGGGTACAGGTTTCAACACAAACTTGTATCCAGCTCTCTAAGACGACAGCTTCAAGTGATTTTTCCCCATCTTTTCCAACAGTGTTTCATGGAGTTGTATAGGATCTAAACATTGGTAGAAGGTCACATGATTGCAAGAACCCGTTCAGGGTTTCTCCTCATTTGAGGAGAGGAGATAACAAACCAATTGTAATTCCCACATGTTTGCTCAGGCTTGTATCGATTAAAAGTGTATGGCCCAAGCAACACAACACAAATAACAGTCTGGATAGTGATTCGGCAATAGGGTTCTAGAATAAACTCTACTGTGTATCTAATTCTTAAAGATGGACACATGGACGAATCATTGTTCACAGACAAAGAAATACAATTGAAATCAAATAAAATGAAGGAACAAAGTAGAATTAGAACTTACATCATCCAGCAGCTAACTGTTGCTGTTATTACCAATGTCAAATGCAATCTGGATCAGAAGACCAAGGTTAGCCATATTGAAGAATAATAACAATATGTTGACCAAAGAAACGATCAAGAGAATCCACTATATCATATGATCATTCGAGTAGTCACTCAATTTACCAGATAAAATATGAAAACAATGTAACAAAATTCCTAAGAGATTGCTAAAAGAATAGAGAAAGGTCAAGACACAAACATATATCTAACATGAAAAAATAAACAAGGGCCTATCATAAACCAGGGAATAAGCATTCATGCCAAGAGAAACACCCGCCTAGGACTCTGCATTGCTATAACTCAGGCAATAATACCATCTATTTGATAATCAGCTATCAAACAAGCATACAACCTAAAAGAACTGCAAAAGTGGAAACTGACTAAACATGTAAAACCACTCGTATTACAAGACTGCAACACCTTTCATGGTAGCACAACTTAACCTGACCGATAAATTAGCAGGACATGTGCAAAAGCTCCTGAAGGAAGCAAAACTGGCAAACACCGGCCACGTTTCACTGCTAATAGCAGAATAATGTGTCACACTGGATTACACGAGGCAGTCGCTTGCTAGTCCCTAGGAACACAATAAGGGCATCCAACTAGAAGAAAACAAAAGCTTATTGATCCAGACTTAAAAAGACTTGGCGCACCTAGAAGAATTACATGAGTCATGACACTGTTCAGTAAACATTTCCCCAATGGATCTAAATTCCAATGGCGCCTTACCAATATCCCAACACAACCACAATACTTGATCAATCAAGAAAACTACAGCGCAGGATCCACAATAGTAACCCAAAGAATTCCCATCAATTTCCTCTATCGAACAAAATAGGACAAAATCACGTTTCCCCAGTCAGGCACACAATTTCTCAGGAAGAGAGAAAGTAATGCAGCAAATACTGGGAGATGAGAAGTGGAGCCAAGGTTAGGGAGGAAGCATACAAATTGGTGGAGGGGCCTCTGTTACAGCAGATTCTGGTGCACAGCGATGCGATTATACCCACCACTACAAAAATCAGCGTAGTTACCAGAAAACCCATCTCGATTTGGCTGTGAATTCGATCGCGATTTCTGAAAACGAACCACGATGAGTTGAGTTAGCTCAAAGCAGACAACTTTCGCGATCGCAACGGAAAATTTGGCTGAGAAAGCCAATCCCGTTTGGTTTGCCGAGGAAAGATGCAGGGGGCAAATAGGAACAAAAGCGAGAAAGCTGTACCTGAAATTGGCCAAGCTGCTGCTGCTTGATCTGTTCGTTAACGTTTGGTTCTCCTCCTGTGGCAAGAACAAGATCCAAGTTTGCTCTTCTTCCTTCCAACGATGGTTCGACTTTGATTTCGGATGATAAGAAGCTTGGGCCTACAGATTACTCGATTATGTCAGAAAAAAGCCCACCAGTAAGTTATTGATATTTGATAGTAATCAGCCCAAACCCTCATGGTCATCAACACAAAACCAAAAACAAAAAATTACAAGACTGTCATCAACAATTCGGTTAGTTCAGAAAACTTATAAGATTGTGGGATGGTTTGGAGTTCGGAAAAGGATTTTTTTTTCCTTTTGGCTGAGAACGCTTAAACTTTGAGACCGCCGGTTATCAATCCATGTCACCCTCGAAATGGATTTGAGAGATGAAAGATTGATGATGAATCTTTGATAATAGGATGTGCATGTAGTAAGCGAGAAAGTGTGAGCAAGTCGGACGAATGACCTACAATAAAGTGGGAAAAAATCCCACTGTACACACGTTCTTAAAAAAAATTCTCAAAATACATAAGTTATAAAAAAATTTCCAAAACTACACATGTTTGGGCATCACCGTGTTTGACAAAGGCGGTGAAGACTATCACCGCTTTTAATAAAAACGGTGAACATTTCACCGTTTTAAATTAAAACGGTGATGCCTTCACCGTCTTAGTCTAAAACGGTGAAGGCTTCACCGTTTTAAACAGAAACGGTGAAGCTATCACCGTTTTAGTTTAACACGGTGAAGCCTTCACCGTTTTTATTAAACGCGGTGAAGGAGCTGACGTGGACAAACGCGGGGTATTCACCGCGTTAGACAAACACGGTGAATACCCCGTGTTTGTTTACGTCAGCGATCCGGGCCAATGTGCTTTCACCGTGGCCGTTGGATGCGGTGAGGCGCGGATCATGGTTTTCTTCCCACGATCCGACGCCTCACAACACGCCACGTCCCCTCGACATACACCGCGTTTGTATACAGCGATGAGTTCACCGCGTTTGACTAACGCGGTGAAGGCGCTCCAATTGAATGCTGCGCAGGCGCCTCCCCCCTTCCCCCAACTATAAATACCCCTTCCCCTTTCACTTTCAACTCACCCCACAAACATTTCACTTCTTTCTCCCTCAATTTATCCGCTCTAGTCTCGTTCTAAGTATGCTCTTCGTGTAGGTTTTTGGTTTATGAATTTTTTTGAATCGAAACAATTTGATTTTTTGTTTTTTTATCAAAACAATTTCTGATTTCATTACTTTTTTATAGATGGGTGCCGAGATATACGATCCTCGATTGTATATCCATTATGGCCCAAGGGATGCGAGTCTCTTAACCGATCAAGAAGCTCATCGCTCCCGTGCTATTTGGGATAACTATCCGGTAATTTTTTGAGTATTCTTGCTTTATTTTATTATTTTCTAAGGTTTTATTTTGCTTTATTTAATCTAATAAAGCAGGCCACTCTCGATTTCAGACCACTCTGGCCCCTAAGCAGGCCATTCAACACCATCGGCTGGTTGAGGAGGTTGTGAGTATTTGTCCCATCCTGCACTACTCGATCCACCGTAGTTGATTGAACCACCACCCTCCTCGTAACCTCCTGTATAACCACCGCCTTGGTAGTTGCTCGAACTACCACCTCATTCGTACCCTCCTGCAAAACCATCATCATAAGAATACTGGTGAGAATGAGATTCACCGACCGCCTCGGTCTCAACATACACCTCTGCAAGCCGGACTTGGTTATCGCTTAGGAACTGTAACATCATCGTAACCGCGTCATCATCGTTTATGACAACTTCTTGGAACACGACCCCGCCAGCACTCATGTCTGGATACCGGTAAGTAATTTTGCCAAGTCTCGTCTGTCCGCTCGTACAAACCCTTTCTGCACAAAGATCACAGAGTTCTTGAAAATTGAATCGGGAATCAATTTTCAGCATAATGGATTCGCCGTCCTCATAATCAATGCCTATGTCAGAGTTTGTCACCCTTCCATTCCACCGAATAGTAAGATGAAACTTCTTGAATTTACCCATATCTACAAATCGAGGATAAGTATCTATTAGCTTAAAGACAGTAAAATTAACCAAAATCATATTGTACAACTAATATTATCCATCTCATAACTAACGAACATAAATTCAACTAACTAACAACAACATAATACGAAAATTAAATCATACTATAACTAACGAACATAAATTCAACTAACTAACAACAACATAATACGAAAATTTAATCATACTATAACTACTAAAAACATAATTAGACTATAATACGAAAAGAGACATACCAAAAAATGTCTGTTCTGTGTATTATGCTCGATTTATTTGCTGAAATTTGAAGAAGGGGGGAGTGGTAAGTTTTTGCTTCTGCTGGTGGGTTGGTATTTATAGGAAAATTTGCTACTATTCACCGTTTTTGTCAAACACGGTGAACACCATCACCGCGTTTGTCTCAAACGGTGAATACTAGGTAGGTGTGACCTAATTTTGACCTACCAGGGGTGGGAAACGTGGGAAACAATCACCGCTTTAGGCAACCACGGTGAATGTATTCACCATTTTTAACTAAAACGGTGATGTATTCACCGTTGTTGACAAACGCGGTGAATACATCACCGTTTTAGATCAAGGCGGTGAATACGTCACCGTTTTAGTTTTAAACAGTGAAATATTCACCGTCTTTGTCAAACGCGGTGATTACCTTCACTGCGTTTGTCAAAAACGGTGAATGCCAAACATGTGTACTTTGGGAAAATTTTTTATAACTTATGTATTTTGGGAATTTTTTTAAGAACGTGTGTACAGTGGGATTTTTTCCCAATAAAGTGCAACTGATATTCTGTGTTCATTTTCTACCATCTTCCAGTGAAATTGATTGGTCACGTTAGATATTGTATCATAGTAGTGTCATCTTGTGATAAGATGGTGATTAGGGATGTCAATCCACCCGTAATTATGGATATCCTACTCGACCCTAATCGGTCAACGAGGATAATTACTCGCTTTGATGGGTAAAGGGACGGGTACGGATAATACCCGGTTTCAAAATAACGGGTAGGGTATGGTACGGGCACAGTAACACCTATACCCGCCCCGGTTGTACCCGCCCGTAATTATATATGGCTGTAAGCTAGTAGTGTGTTTAACCCTAGTAGCACAATTCATATAAATATTTCCAATTCTATTCCTCCAATTTCCATACCCAAAACCTTTGTTGGCTTCGCTGCTTGTGTGTTGTGAATTGTTGCTTTAATGGACAATATGTACGTGTAATTGTTTCCCATCCCAATTTGTTGAGCTTATTTCTCATGTTTTATGTTCATAATTGTTAGCTTTACAGATTGTGAGCACATACTATCAACATTGTCGAAAAAGTGCGAGATGAATTTTCATTAGTATGGTGTCTAGCTGTTAGAAGTTAACCAACAATTGTCATCGATGTGAAATTCATCAAGGCTTATGTCAATTAGGTTGATCTAATGGTTGATGTACGTGTATAAGTTCATATTGTAATATTATTTTAGAATAGAATTATTTACAACTTGACGATAAATTCATATATGTGGTTACCTGAATACCCGTGGTTACCCAGTGGGTAGGGTATGGTTAATATCATTTCAATACTCGGTGGTTATTTTACCGGATATTTCCGCCGGTCATACCCGGCGGGTTAGGGTATGGTACAGGGTGTACCCGCACCCGACCCTACCCATTACCATCCCTAATGGTGATCAACAATTCGGCTAGTTCAGAAAACTTACAAGGTTTAGGATGGTTTGGTTTGGAGCTTGGATATGAAATTTTTTCTTATCACGGATAACCTTTAAACTTTGAGATTTTCGGTTGTCAATTCAGGTGAGTCTGGAAATGGATTTGAGAGATAAAAGATAGATCATGAATCTTGTAACGGGATGTACACGTAGGGATGACAATTTCGACTTGGCCCTTTTTACCCAACTTGTTTGTCATGTTTTGGGGCGGGGCGGGCATAGGTACTTCTCATCGACCTGACCTGCTCTGACCCGCCCCATTCTCGACCCGTTCTTGCCTAAATTACATCTAATCTTAATCAAATTACTTAGGATTTTTCTCTTATTACCTCATATTTTAGCTATAATAAGTTGTATTAAGTGAAAACCTTAATTTCTCCAATAATTTAACTACATTTTATCATATTATGGTTTCTTTCTTAGTCTTTTAATGAAAGTAATGAATATTTTTGATATTTTTCACATAAGTTACATATTCATTGGGTCGACTTGTCCCGCTCGCGCCTCATGATAAATTATCCGACCTGTCACGGCCCACAGGGCAGGTATGGGTATCGAGACATCTGTCTGAGACCTGCCCCATTGCCATTCCTCTGCATGTAGTAAGCGAGAAAGCGTGAGCAAGTCGAACAGAGGACGTACAACAATGTGCGAATGATATTCCATATTCATCTGTTCATCATCTTCCACTGAAATTTATTGGTCAAGTTAGATTTTACAAGTCAACTTAATTAGACATTACATCATACTCGTGTCATCTCGTGACAAGAAAGGACATTACATGTATCATGCTAGCTAATTTTTAATCGTTCACGAGCGAAAGTTTTGTTGTCATGTTATTAGGGGCGTTGAAATGGTTACCATATTTATTACCAAATCAAATAAGGCTAAATTTCATTAACCAGGAAATACAATATCATAACCAAACCGTCCAAACTAATACAACAACTAAATTAACCAAACTAAAGTTTAATCGGTTTGGTTAATTGGTTAACCAAACCGATTAACCAGATTAATCAATTTAAAATCATATTATCATTAAGTGAGAAAATTTTTGGTTAAATTATCAATTCACAATCTATATAATGAATAAAACATTCTCATAAAACAATATAATGAATAAAACATAACAATCAACACATACTTATAGTTGACCACTTGACCCTTAACATAAATACATGCAACTAAGACAATTATCTTACGGTTAGTATAGAAGTATTCACCTAACAAAATTTATCACAATGGTATGAGTTAATGAATTGTTGTGTTTGTTTGAATTGACTTAGTCTTTTAGCAATTTTGATAGGCTGAAAAGGACATTGCTTTCAAGTTTTCATCCAACATAATGTATGAGATTTATCTAAATTAGCCGTTCATATGTTGTGTCTACACTCTACATATACAAATATACATTATAGGAA